GAAAGAAATTTAAAGGCAAGGTTGCCAGAATTAGATCCTGATGGTAATGATGATGACAAAAATGCCACGAGTATTTTGTTTGATGATGATGATGATGATGATGATGATGATGGAGTGAGTTAATGATGCTGTTTGTAAATCAGATTTACAGAAGTCGTATCTAGAAACCCAAGTTGTCATACTATTTGCAACCAAGTGTTAAATATTTAATATGTAAATGTATCTATAGTTCTGTAAATACTGAAAATGACTATAAACGGGTATATGGAGGCAATTCATTCAAGGTGAAGAAAAGACAAATGTATACATTGTCATAAAAAATAGTCATTCGCAAAACTTGGAGTCTTACATTTCCATTTAGCAAACGAATGCAATAAATGTGGAGAGGATATTTAAACAATATTATAATTGGATCATTGTGAATAATATGCACATCAACTCTTGTGGTGATTCACCTCAATGATTGGGTGAAGTCTAGATCAAATAATAAAAAAATTAATAGTGATTGACAATCTAAAGTTGTTTCCTATTATGGTTCTACATCAAATGATGTAGCTTTGACTATTGTAATTTTTTGTTGTGAACTTCCATTTAATTATGAAATCTTTTTTTTTGTTAACTTATTAAAATCAAATCCTGGCTATAATTCACCTTCTCATGGGATGTTGATAGTAAAGTTGTGAATCAAAAGTTTGATAGTATATTATAAAATACAACAAATATTACTCTCGGGACAGAGTCCAAATGGCTCTAATTTATGGAATTCATGATAATGACACCTGAAAGAAAAGAATTTTTACATTGTATTTCAGATTTTTCTTCCGTCTCTCATATGGGCGAATTTTTAGAAGAAGTAATTAATAAAATCATTGAATGTATTAGACAAAAAAAATACACAGCAATTGTTAGTAATAATGGTGCTAACATAACCCAAACTAGAAGTACTGACTAGCAAGTATAAGCATATTATTAATGTGAGATGTATAGCTCATTGTGTTAATTTAGTATTACAATCAAGGCAAATATTATAGTAAATTATTTCAAGTAAAAATCATAATGAACTTGGGATAAGAAATGTCAAGTGGAAGAAGATAATAACCAGAAGGTGCAAAAGTTGATGTAGATACTGCGAAACTTCTACATCCTTGACCACATTTACTACATCAGTGGTTCCTTGAAAAGTGACAACAATCTCTTGATCCTTCAAGTTTGTGGTAATACATAAGCACCTGCTAGAAAGAAAATTACAATTTAATTATCTGGAATCCCTCAAAGAACAAAATCATTACTTACCACTGAATAATCGTGACAATAGGTCAGGTCTGGCCGTAAATGTCTTTATAACAACAGTCTGAGGAACGCAGTTGCAAAGCGTTCCACATGCCCAATTTGCAGAATGAAGACAATAGGAAATTATACAATAAGTAATGAACTTTGTTAGATTGACCACTTTTGCATCACTGAGTTTATTAATAGTAGTTGGATATCCACGCATTCCATCATTCTGACACACCTACATCTTTGAAAGTTTTTTGAACCACATGCGCAATTGCCATTAAAAGCTGGATTGGATGTAAGAGAAGATTTGGGTTCAATGCAAAAACAATCAACATCACCACATCTATTACATTCGGAATTTGGAACACACATGGAAAAATTTCCAGATCACATAATAATAATAAAAGACAAGATGAAAGTAGAAGCCTGAAAATCTATTATAGCGTAGAATAAGAATAATGAAGAAATAGTTGTTGTAACAAAATTGCAAAGGATGATACAAATCAGAAGAAAGGTTGATAAGTTTGAGAATCTAACGTGAAAACAATAAAACACCAAATATGAAATCGAACCGACGGAATCAGGATCAGATTATCAAGAATCCAATCAAGAATCCAATCAATTAGAACCTTTATCTTTTTTACCAAGAAAACCTGAGGCATAGAAAAGGAACACCATTTGTTAATTTTGATCTACGCCAGTTACTTCTTAAGAAACTTGTTTACAATTCTTATCAATTCGTCTAATGGACAGATCATACGATCTATGACTAAATCTAACGCATGTTTATTTTTTTGTGCAATAAAAATTGCTTGGTAACTCAAGTTCAAAGTAACTCACAATGTACAACCACTCTAGTGCTTAGGTCATACAATTTAAAGAAATTCATTGTGCAAAAAAGATCTGAGCATGTATTATTATTCAGAAAAAGTATATGTATAGACCGATGGTTTTACAGCTACTGAACTCGCTCAACATTACTGTAACAATTTGTGATTTAATATTAATATAATGTTGAATATGATTTGAATTTAAAATGTATCATATAACATCTACTTTATAGTTATATAACACGAATTCATTTCGTAATAATTATTTCGTGTTTATTTATTTATTTATTATTCATCTATTTATCGATTATGTCTATAAATCTCCCGGATAGATTGATAAGCTTATATTTATATTCGCCATCATATTATGTATTTTTATATACATAAGACACGTTTCCAAGATAATAAAAATAATTTATATTTTTACAACAATTAAAGCTGTTCATCAAAGAATGTTTATGATTTTGTATTGATAAAAATAATTCTTACAATTACTCGTAATGTTTCAGCAAAAGAAAACGCTCAGCTCTAAATATTTACAAGATTTTTAGTACTGGAGGTATAAGATTCGACAAATTAGATCCTTTAATCCTTCGAGTATTGGAAATTTTACCGATAATGAAATTAAGATTATTAAAGAAAGAGGTAGAATACTTTTTGTTCCGCAAAATAAAAACCAGACACAATTCAATCAGAAGATCACGATGAAGATATGACTTGTACGCACTTTTAAAATTTCATGGTTGAACAATGTTGTCAGAAATGAATTTTCCGGCCACGTGAACAAATCAGTTGATTTGTATCCTTTGTAAGGTTGTCTTTATGCGACAGAGGCGAAAGAGATTCCTCCTAGAAATAAACATTTTGTCATGAATGCTGTCGGGATTTCAAAAATTTTAACCGGAGAGGAATTGATTGTGCACATTGTTGTCTTTTATCCAAAAGATCCTAACATAAACAATCAAACATGGCATTTTAGTGGAAAAATACATGATTATTTGGATAAATAATGAGATAGGACAAATAAATGTGTATGTATTTTTAGTAAAAAAAAAAAAAAGGTTAAGATGGCAAACTTATTTATTTATTTTTTCGCGACAAAACAATCAATTAACAAAATAATTTTTAATCATAATACCCATAATCTCCGACCAATTCTAAAATAATTAAAAGAAAGAAACCTTGACAGTTTAAGAAAAAAGATTTATTTGTCATTATTTGTTTATTTTAATCCACTGCAAGCTAATATGATTTAAATAATTAATTTTTAAGAAATTCGCAATTGTCTTCTCACATATAAACAATAAATATTTTTAAATGAATAATTTATAACATATTTGAGGCAATGCATGAATTTACCAATTCTATCAAAGAACAAGTTTACGGGTGAGAACGCAAAGTGAACCATTGCTTTTTACGTATTACAAAATATCACACATGCTGTGCCATCGAGATCAAAATTTATTAAAGTTTGGGTTTCGTCTTTGTTGTAAAGAGCAAAAAAATCACATCACTTGAGTCAAGAAAATAATATATTTTATTAAATTCGAACATATAAATAGGATGGCAGTCTCACATTTTTTCTCTCGGGCTATTTGGTCCAAGAAACGTATTCAACCTTCTACCATCATTACTATTACCATTATTATTAACAATTTTTAATATCACAAATGTTTCTTCCTTGCCGGCACCGGCGGTACCGTCAGTAGTACCATCTTCTACATTTAGTTGCTTCGATCATAAAAGACGATCCAAATCAAAATTAGTTTATTATTCATTAATTTTTGTACTTTGACAATCAAGATCAATTACAAACATATTATCACTATTGACAGTTTGATTGGTATTTTTGTGATTTATCTAATAGGTTTTTGTGAAAAAGTTAAAAGAAACTTGAATATTACAGGACAAAGTATTACCAAAGCCATAAATCTCAAAGTACCCATTGTAGTAAAAATCACTCTTAAACCATTAGGCGAAGTAACAATAGGTAATATTATTAATAAAATAACATTTTTTTTATTTTGTTTCGTTTTCTTAAAATAAATTTTCTAAATTTTCATTTATTTGTTTATTATTAGGTCAAGCAGAGCCATCTGGATTGATTGGATTGAAAAGCAGAGATGGAATAGTTAGATTATATCCACAAGCATTGGTAAAACAATTCCAACTTAAAAAACATCCGGAATTTTCACCTGCTGACATAATAGCAGAATTTAACTCTGATTTTGATTTTTGGTTTGAAGGTGATGCGACACCAATTAAGTCAACTCAGTATGAATTCGTACATATGATATTGCATGAATTCGTACACGGCTTGGGATTTTTATCATTTTGGGATCATATCTTTATTCTAGTACAGTAAATGCAACAGAATTGGTACCATACGTTAGCATTGATGATTCTAATGTGCTGCTATTACCAACGCCACCACCACACCTCAAACTCCAACATCACAAAATTCATCAATAATATTTAATGGATTTTATGAAAATATATTTGACAAACTTATAACATTGTTACCAAGCGGTATGCCAGTAACCAATTTCACAAACGAATTAAACAAATTTGCACCAAAAGGCACAAAATTTGATTCGGAAGATGATTTTTATGTCAAGTTTCAAAACTCCACTCAATATAAAATTGCAACTGATATGTTAAAGCGTGCCACAACACCCTTATCATTTGGTTTGTTAAAAAAAGGCTTGGATTTTCAAGATATTGTAGTAAACAACACTGCCAATGATCAATTGTTTTATTTGGAAACTAGTTTAAACCCTTATCGGCCGGGATCAAGTCATATGAGTCAAGCATTGTATTTGAAAAGCATCGAATTTCTAATGAATTTTCAAAAAACTCCAGGTAAAACGTTAAAAGACGCAATTAAAGATGGTGGAAGTTATGTCGGAGGTGCAATCGGACCTAAACTTGTAACTATGCAACTGCTGACAATCCAAACCCCAAAATCCCGACTCTTCCCGATCCCCTTTTTATGTTGATAATGATATTTAAATTTTTGATTTTTTGGTAAAGAAAAAACATTTTTCATTATTTATTATATAGAATATTTTTTAGATTGTCGCCTTTTATTTTATAAATGTTATAGATGTCAATTATGATTTCCGTTGTAATTATTAATAAATAGAATAAATTATAGAATTAAATAACAAATATTTTTTATGATGTCGACTAATCTGTAATCAAATCCCAAAGAATGCTGGAAGGTCCTTCCTAGCTTCCAATTTCCACGACTTACTCTAGGGCAATAGCATGCTATAAATAAAATAAAATAAAAATAATAAATTATGATTAAATGCCGAGATAGGATTATTTATTTCGCCGATGGTTTTGTTTTAAAGTATTATTAATTTCAGAGGTAATAAATTTTTACTATAAAAATATTTTGTTACCACGATACGCTTTATTTAACTCGTAAAACAACAAACAATAGAACTTGCTCATCAATTATACTCGTCTAATCAAACAATTTTCTTCTCCTAATTTAACAGTTAAATAACTCCTAAGTAAATCTAGTATTAGTATTAATTCTGGCTCTGACTTTGGTAATAATTTCCAGGTCAGTCAACAATTTCGTTAGATATATTTTCATTAATCTATCTATTTTTAATAATAAACTAGAATGGCAAAAATGCGCACAACCACCGTTTTTTTTAAAAAAATACTTACTCTTGTCTTGTTCTCTTTCTTTTTGGCTCAAAGACCTTTTTTTTTTAATATTAAAGAAATTTGAAATGATTAAATGGTAGTTTTTGTAGTAAAAATAAAGATGTTTGATCCGGTTTTATTTTTGAACAATTACAATATTATTTGCAAAAACTGAAATTTCTTTTAAAAAAAAAATGTTTATTATAATATAAAACAAGATTTTAAGTTAAACGTCGCAATGAGTGAGCGGTGGCACTTGCACGAATTTATTTGTATTTTAATATTATATATAATAAACAAAGCAATAATAATAAAACAAAAACAGAACAAAACGACGGATTGTTTGTCTTCGCAGGAGAAGGAGTAGTAAACGCCAATTAACTAAATATTAATATTAATATTAAATTGCTTGTTAAACCTTTTTTTTTTTAAAAAAAAAATTTACAAATGCAGAAAAGATCGATTTGTTCCACACAATAAATTTTTACCGCCTTATCAAATTTTGCAACCCTTCACTTCAGTATTAAATTTTTCCAATCTTTTATATTCTTCTAACGCTGCTTTAGAGACCTTTAATTGAGCATGATCAAAACCGAGAATATGCAAGTTTTTTAACGACTCATTGCAACGTATATTTGTCCTTCAGCAAATATATTCTCATCAACATTCAATAACGCGGTTGGGCTTGTTTTTATATTTGGCGCTTTCACTAATTACACTGTCAGTGGAGGAGACAGTCTTAATGAAGCACATAGATAAAAAAATGGATGACATGTTTTTTTTTTTTTTTTTTTTGACGAAAGAATATTATGAATTTGATCAATTAATTAACATTCTATATTCATTTTATTGCTCGAATTTAGAAGGCATTTAATTCTATTTTAAGAAATTTATTTTTATAAATTAATTAAAATGTTGAACCATAAGTTTATCTATTATTATATAAATCAAAGGGACGGAAGGGATGTAATTCATAGTCAGATTAAGCTTTTTTTTATTGGTCCGACATCTTTTCTTTCTTAGAACTTCTATCTGTTTAAAAAAAAAAAATTGGCAGCGCTTAACTTTAACTATATATACTAAGAATATTGGCGAAATACTTTGCAGGAAGAGGAATTATTCGTCAAATCGGTTGTTAATTTCGTCGCATTTAACGAAATGTGACGAAATTAACGACCGATTTGACGAAATTGACGTTGACCGATTATACGACCAAATTTTCATAACCAAAGGTATGACCAAATATTAATTTTATATATAACAGTATAATAATGTCACCAAAAAAATGATTACCCTTTGTCTTATCATCATGATAAAAAAGAATGAGAATAATCACCATGGTAAATATCCAACGTTACTCTACATAATGAATTGTTATATAAAATGCCATGTATAAAATCATTAAACCCTAGGTTCTCAATGTACTTTTAGCATATGCATCAATTTTGTTTGAACATCAAAATTCGGTATGGCATGATCATAACGTTATGAATGCCTTATAATCCATTAGTTTTGAGGTAGTGCCGTTGGTTTGACGGGCTATTGAATAGTAATATAGTTTTTTTTTTGGTAGAATAAATAAATTTTTTTAGGGTTAATCTGACCAGTTACGCATATACAATAAGATATACATGTAAGTTGGATGCAACAATCAATTGTTTAAAATAAATAAATGACCGACCTATTGAGTTTAAATGTGTGTAGGGTTTGAAAGAAGGCCTAAAAACAAATCGGCTGTATGGTAATTACATACTACCGGCAATTTTCCCATCTCTATCCTTGTCCGAAGTTGACACATGATGTTAATATATTGGCTGAATGTTCGCACTATATAAAACAATCAATATATGTATAGGAATCAATCAGCAAGTATCACAAATATCTGAATTGATCGGCTAAATTAATTTTGTCGATTTCGTCAAAAGATCCTTGGCGATAAATATGAATGTCATGTACAATTTTGTCAACCATTTTTAATTAATTAATATATACACAACACAATCATTTGAAATTTCCTTTTTTTTCCTTTTTTAAAAGTTAAATACGTCGCACTAAATTAAATTCATCATATTCTTTCGTTAATTAATGAAAATTTTAAATTAGACAAAAAATCCCGTGATTTTTATGAAAACTTTGAGCTTAGTAAAAAAATTCAAAACTCTGTTGAATCATGGATTAAGTAAGTACATTTAAAATAGCTTGAATATATATACACGGCGAGACTGTGTTCAAAATCATATTAATATACTAACACTTAAATCATTTAAAAGTTGATAATAATAATACCCGTTCCAATCCTTCTTTAGCACATAATAATAAAAGTAAGTTACATCATTTTCTAAACTTGAGTATTTATAGTGATGTTAGCCGGCTAAAAAAATTTTCCTTAACATTCATTTTACGTCTGGGATTTTAGTGCAGAATTCAATGGCATGGACATTCAGTTGAGATGGGTCCACCTACATTACTTAGAATGACAAAAAAAAACATACATTTGCTCAAAAAACAAAATACAATATGTATATCGTAGCAGGATAAAAGTCATATTTTATTCGAATTATTATTATTCGTTCTATTTGAATTATTCAAATAAAACTTTCAATATAATTCGAATACTCAAATTCATAATGAAAAAAACAAATAATTTGAACCATTAAATGCGAGATATTATAATAACAATAGTAAATAATAGTAATAATAATAACGAT